TCTATCAGAATGCAAACTGACAGGAATACAAAGCTAGGATTAGGGTAAGGTTTTTGGATTATGTTATAAATCTAGAGAAACTGTGGGCATGACATTTCATTGTAGCCAAAAACAATAGCACTAATTTTCATTGGGAAAAATGGAATTTGCAATCTCTGTCCTTGTTGGAATATATTCTTATTCTCCAATCTAGAGTTCTTTCATTAAAAAAACCCAGTAGATCAAATAATTAATATGGTACTTTAAAATATTTTGATACCAATTTGTATCTACTCCATGTAAAATGATATTCTCAAATTTCTTTATTTACTTGTTTTAGTAATGAAGTCTGGTGCAGAGTTCCTTGGCAAATCCACATTGGCGTTAATTCTGTGTGTATTGGCTTTGCTCATCGCTCTTCACAAGTAAGCAAGGAAAGAATGAAGTTCTGGAACACAGGGATTTTTCCCAGGAAAGATACAAACTTAAACTAGAAAGTTCCCAATGGGATAAGGCCAAAATTATCTGCAAGAAACATTGAATTCACTATTTGATTAATTTCACAGAAATGTCCATTCTTAGTGAATACAAACATTTTCAAAGTGTTCTGAAAACAGCAAGAAAAGAGATCTGATCTGATTCCCTTGAAATGTTAAAAATATCTTAAATTACATTTGCAGTTATGAAGTGTTTGATCTCCACAGTAAATATGATACTTTTAAGTTCTTAGTATGGAAATGTCATTTTCATTGTGAATATGCATTTAGTTTAAAATGTATACAGTACCACCATGAAGAGTGTGTTCCCTCCTGGATTGGGCTTTAGTATGTTAGAAAAATGAAGACATAGGATTTCAAAATATATAGTACTCCAACATTTTATTTAAAACAACAATTTATGTACAGGATTATAATTTCTGTATTTCATTTGTTGGCCGGGTCAGAAGTCTGAATATAAAGACGAGAATGTCTGATCAACCCTTCCTGACTACATGACAGCCTTTGTTCTATAGAAATGTCTGAAACACACTGAATCATATTTTCTTAATTGTTTTTTTAAAAATAAGAACATCTGCAAATAGTGAAAGTTCGACTTCTTCCTTTCCAATTTGTATCTTCTTATATCCATTTGTTGTCTTATTGCTCTAGCTAGAACTTCAAAGACAATATTGAAGAGGTATGGAGAGAGTGGACAGCCTTGTCTTGTCCCTGATTTTAGAGGAATCACGTTGAGTTTCTCTCCATTTAGTTTGATGTTGTCTGTGGGCTTGCTGTATATTGCTCTTATTATGTTTAGGTATGTTCTTGTTATCCCTGATCTCTCTAGACCTTTATCATGAAGCGGTGTTGGTTTTTGTCAAGGTCTTTTCAGCATCTAGTGAGATGATCATGTGGTTTTTATATGGTGGATTACATTGATGGATTTTTGTATGTTGAACCATACTTGCATTCCTGGGATGAAGCCTACTGGATCATGGTGGATGATTTCTCTGATGTGTTCTTGGATTCGATTCACCAATATTTTATTGAATATTTTTGCATCAATGTTCATGAGGGATATTGGTCTGTAGTTCTCTTTCTTAGTTGTGTCTTTGTGTGGCTTGGGTACCAAGGTTATTGAAGCCTCCTAAAAAGAGTTTGTCAATGAACCTTCTGCTTTCATTGTGTGGAACAATTTGAGGAGTATTGGTATTAGCTCTTCTTTGAATTTCTGGTAGAATTCTGCACTGAAGCCATCTGGCCTTGGGCTTTTTTTTTTTTTTTTTTGGTTGGGAGACGATTGATGACTGCTTCTATTTCATTAGGGTTTATAGGTCTATTTAAATTGCTTGATTAAATCTTCTTGATTTAATTTTGGTAAGTGAAATCCATCCAGAAAATTGTCTATTTCCTTTAAATTTTCAAATTTTGTGGAGAACAGGTTTTCAAAGTATGACCCGATGATTCTCTGTATTTCCTCAGTGTCTGTTGTTATGTCCCCCTTTTCATTTCTGATTTTTTAAATTTGCATGGTCACTCTCTGCAATTTGGTAAGTTTGGATAAAGGTTTGTATATCATGTTGATTTTCTCGAAGAACCAAATCTTTGTTATATTGATTCTTTGTATTATTTTCATAGTCTCTATTTTATTGATTTTACCCCTCAATTTGATTATTTCCTGGCATCTACTCCTCCAGGATATATTGGCTTCTTTGTGTTTTAAAACTTTCAGTTTTGCTGTTAATTCTCTAGTGTGACTATTCTCCAGTTTCTTCATGTGGGCACTTAGAGCTATGAACTTTCCTCTTAGCACTGTTTTCAAAGTGTCCCATAAGTTTGGGTATGTCCTCATTCTCATTGAATTCCAGGAAATCTTTAATTTCTTTTTTATTTCTTCCCCTCTTAGCACTGCTTTCAAAGTGTCCCATAAGCTTGAGTATGTTGTGTCTTCATTCTCATTGTATTCTAGGAAATCTTTAATTTATTTTTTATTTCTTCCTTGACTTAAGAATTGTGCAATTGGGCATTATTCAATTTCCATGTATTTGTAGGTTTTCTGCAATTTGTGTTGTTGTTGAATTCTAACTTTAAA